ACGCAGAAGTTGCCAGGACTCTGAACGATTTGGCCAATGCCTGCGGAGCTCTTGGAGATCTTCGAGAACAAAAGCGGCTCGTAGAGAATGCCTTGGTGATAGTGGAGCGGGAGTTTGGCACGGAGCACGCAGAAGTTGCCTGGACTCTGAACAATTTGGCCATTGCCTGTGGAGCTCTTGGAGATCTTCAGGAAATGAAGCGGCTCCTGGAGAAATCCTTGGTGATACTGGAGCGGGAGTTTGGCACGGAGCACGCAGAAGTTGCCAAGACTCTCACCAATTTGGCCGATGCCTGCGGAGCTCTTGGAGATCATCAGCAGAAGAAGCGGCTTCTTGAGAGGGCTTTGCGAATTTTTGCATCGACCGTCGGGCCAGATCATCCGCATGCTCAAACGGTGTTGGCAAAGGTAATTTGGTCTCAGATCACCGGAGGATGAACTGGCATTACAAATTTGGGCAGCTCTATTCTATAGGCATGGTAAGTGCGTGACTCGCGTAGCCGATTGGCCGCTGGGCGCTCAAAAAGGCGGAAAAGGCGCCAGCATCCAATGAACGTCATGAACATCACGTGCTGAATTGCGCCCGGCATCATACAAACTTAATTAGGAATCATCGTCCACGTGAGACACTTGGGGTCAGGACTGCGTGGGCCCAAACCCCAAGCCACCAACCATAAGCGTTGGATGTACGCGCTGGAGGCAGTACAAACCCATGTCTCCCATGCTTGCTGTGGCCCAGGTCCTCCTCCGGGTTTGTGCTGCAACGGGGGACTCCAGGGCAATCAAAAGCCCCAAACCCCAAACCCTTAAACCCCCTAAACCTAGGGTTTAGGGTTTAGGGTTTAGACCCCTAATCCCCGAAACCCCTAGACCCTAAACCCAAGATGATAGCCGAAAGCCATACGTTTTTAGGTCTTGGGAACTCGAAGCCCTGAGCCATAAGTTTGGATTTCCAGTGATCACGCGGACCTAAGCCCTAAACCCCTAAACCCCCTAAACACCCTAAACCCCTCAACCCCTAAGCCCCTAAACCCCTAAACCCTCAACCCTAAACCCTTAAACCCCCTAAACCCCTAAACCTGTGTAGCTGACACAGATCCTTCACTGAGGCGTGCAGGTGAACTGCATCCCGCAGGCCTGCGCAGCAGGCCAGAGTGGCATCCATGATCAAGCCCGAGCTGTTAAGTTGTTATAACCCTAAACCCTAAACCCCAAACCCCAAGCACCAATCCCTAAGACCGAAGCTTGGTATACAATATAGGTAATTGTTTAGGCCCAGTAGGTTGTTAAGATTGTGGCCAGGGCTTCGTGGGTTTGTGGTTTTGGGCGGACGTTTCAGGTGGCGGGCTTTGCTATTTGGGTGGTTGTCAAAATTATGGTCCCTTTTTGGGTCCCTAATATAATACGGCACCTAATATTTAGGGTACCCAAAAAGGGACCCTAATTTTGACAACCACCCATTTGGTTCACGCCTTTCCCAGGAGTTGCCGGAATCACGTGTGGGTCCCTTGTTTCATCGCGCAGAGAGCGTGTGGACTTTGTGTGCTCTGAATCAACAGGCTGCCCTAAACCATGAGTCCTATAATTTGCTTTAGATACTACATCATCGACCCCAAATCCCTTACCCTAGATCTTGCAGCCTTGCGCATGCTGCCCAGGAATCCTAGAGCGAGGAAAAAGATTCAACGGTTTCGATAAGGAACAAAACAAAATAGCAACCCACACGGCGCGGCCATCCGAAGCCCTCCACAGGCATAAGCTATCTAGCACAGTGACAACAGCCCAGAGAAACAACATATCGCTAGACGGTCCGTGCCACACCCATCAACCCTTTTTGCCTTTTGCCGGTAGAACCCAATAAACCCGAATACCCCTAAAATCCCCGAAACCCTAAACCCTAAACCCTAAACCAACCCCCCCCAAGCCAGTCTACGGGCCAGGCTTGGCTTCGAACGTGACCAAGAGTGGCATCGACTCCGTCGTTTTCACGCCCGGAATCTCAAAGCAGCTGAGGGTTTACGGTTTAGGGTTTGTTTGGGTTTTAGGGTTTAGGATTTAGGATGTAGGGTTTAGGGTTTATGATGTAGGAATTGTTTCGGGATTAGGGTTTAGCGAGTTGCTAAGAGCAGCACCCTAAACCCTAAACTCTGAACTACCCCAAACTTTTCCTTGGCCAAGGCCCCAAAGAGCCTTCCCTTACACAATCTTTCAGTCATATGAAGACCCTATGGAATCTTTACGGAACCTTTGCTGAGCCCTGACAGATTAAATTAGAACCCTTCTAGACTCCTTCTAGAACCCTCATAGAACCGTATAATATAGAGGCCTCAATAATTGCTTATTTTGGGGGCTCCTTATTGGAATTAGACTAAACAGGACCCCCAAACCCTATTCTAATTATTAAGGCCACTATATTAGACCTGTGCAGACGAGCCCCTAGCTCCCAAAACTACAGACCTTTGGAAGGCTGTTGAATGAACTAAACCTTATGCCCTTGGGTTTAGGGTTTAGGTTTTGGGGTTTCCCTATAAAGCCCTAAATTACTAAGCCCTGAACCCTAAGCCCTAAAGCCCTCGATCCTTCAAAACCTAAACCCTTCTATCACCCTACTTGAAGGATCATGGGACTGAGTAAGTAGGGTTATAACTAAGGTAACTATACTTATAATCCCAATTAGGGGACTTATATAACCTTACTTACTCAGTCCCATGATCCTCCAAGTACAAAGCATAGGCCCTAAACCCGGGAATCTGCGAGCCAAGCTTTCAGAGGCTTCAGGGTTTAGGGTTTAGGGTTTAGGGCTAAGAAAGATCAGCAACCTGGCTTTTGAATTGAAGGTCTTTGGTGGTTTATCGGTTTGGTGATTTCTTTTGAAAAGGGGGGTGTTATGGATTTTAGGATCTATTTTTTTAGGGTAGAAGATTGAATTTAGGGTTTTAGGTTTAGTTCTTACAGGGTTTAGGGTTCACTCTAACCCGGAAGCCTCGGAGTAGGCCTTTGGGCCATTTTAGATCTCCCCTTACTTCGGGCGTAAAGGGATCTTATTTACGAAGATGCTTGAGAGGCTTTAAAGGGCCACCTTGGCCTTTAAAGACCACTCTAACCTGCTAAGCCGTTAGGCACAAGACCCGCAAGCAACAGCTCCGTTCTCTTGCGGGGGGAGGGGGGGGGGGG